GAAAACAAAACGCACAGAGATGAGATGTGTATCTCTAGAAAGCTTGACGTGTCTACTTTTAAATGCAACTATGTACTGTATGTTGAAAACAAACATTGCTTGAAATAGTAATCAGTATGAAACCAAGGCTAATGTCTAGTTACTCAGTCTGATCTCATTAGTTTTAATGCGACCAAGCCCACGAGACTTTGTTATTACAAGCATCTGCATAAAACGCGTGCAGACTGTGGTCAGAAAAACAAGTCACTAAAATGATAGGAAACTCAGCAAATATTCAACAAAGATGATGATTTATGACATCTATATAAAGCTTGATATGTCTACTTTTGCATTAACCAATTTAAATCGAAAACAAATAATCTATTTTTATGTAATCCGTATAAAAGTAAGGACTCTAAGTATGGATTCTCCTATATCGCCTCATTACAGCTAACATGATCCCGCCCCTCAGTAAGCAAGCTTCATATGTAAATTACCAGATGTGAAAACAACTGTGGTAAAGGACCAGTGGCAAAGAGAGCTAAAGTAGGTAAGAAGTGCTCCGAGTTTGGTCAGTAAAGTGAGTAATGTTGGTCTGCGTCATGCCAACAAACTATTAGATGAAGATGTAGCCTTCAACTTCACTAAAATGTATAAAAACGCAACAAAACTGGACCAAGAAAAAAATCCTGCATCTGTCAGTCTTCGGTGATGTCAAGAAGAAGGCCAGGGGTTACAGTGAAATACTGCCTTTTTTTCTGCGCTCCTCTGCAAGGCTATAGAAATATATACATTTCTAAGTGTCCTTTGTAAGTTTATTCTTTAAATAATTTCTGTGAATACCGAATTAGAGGATGAGAACTTGCGCCAAAAGCTGTTGTGATGCGCGCAACTGTTTAAAAGATTTCATTATAGCACATGGTGTGTTTTTCATCTACTTTCTTTTGCTCGGTTATTTTTGTTAATATATATTAATTATCATTCTTTAACATAACATTGCTCTAATAGGAGATTACCAAAACTAACTCAGAATCTTATTATTATTAATCAATCTTTGTATGTGCTATTCCATAATGATGTATTGTTTTTTTAACCAATTTAAGATGTTTGACAATGCTAAGATAATATGTTGCATTTTGGCATGTTTTTTTACTTATTTACGAACAATTTATGGACATAAATTTAAATAAAAAATATCCTGGATTTGAAGAATATTGTGGTCATGGACTTCATTGAGCTCAAGTAATAGTTAAATCTATAAAAATTGTGTATGAACTTGATTGTTGATGTCTTAAATAATAATGTCAAATAATCAACATTTTTCAAAATGAATATATCTCGTTTTGCAATGAAACTCTTCAATTACAAATAACTTTTTCAGTAGATTTCATATATGTTAGTTTATAAAGTTTGCAGAGTTTTATAGAGTGCACTGACTCTCACAAGTGTATCTCCAGTTATTTTGTGTAATTATAATATTTTAAATTAACTGCAAACAAAAAAGTGCATAAACTTTGCTTTGATTCCTTTTTGAAACTCTTCCGAGTCACATACCTGTCTGATGGCTCATTATGCAGCTCATTATGCAGGTCTTTGTCTTATCAGGTGTGACTCACTGCATAGTAATGATAGTTCATGCCTTCTCGCATAAAGCATTTTCACTCAAAAAGTGACTTAAAAATTTTAATTCATTATATTTTTTTTCTGTGAGCAAGTGAACAAGATGATTCTCACATCATTTTGAAGCAAAAACAATAGGCTACAAGATCCAGATCTCAAAACTTTTGTGCACAAATGTTCTCTGTTTTTCACGGGCTTGTTTCAATGACTTTCAATTTTTTGTTTTTCACTAACCACGCATAAACGTTTTTTTCTCAAAAACAGAAACACATACAAACATTCTGCTAAGGTATTATTGTAGCCCAACTTGTGCTGTTTATAGTGTTATCACTTTAGCCGTCTTTATGTTTTTAAGATACTGAAAACAACACAAATGTCAGTGCATGTCCAAACTTTTCCAGAGCCCCAAAACATACTCAGACCCCAGAGGGTTAAATTTAGTGGACGACCATGTGAGAGTTGCAGAGAGCTAGCTGTCTGCTAAAAAGGCCTAACTATAGCAAAGGCAAAACATATGAAATAATATGATTAAAAAACAATACGGTACAGAAAAATTACATTTTGATAAATGGACACCAATGACAAACATTATTCACTGATACCCCATTACTTTGACAAAAAATATGTAAAAAAAAAAAAAAACTTTAATGTCTTAAATAGGCAGTTTAAAGCTTAAAGATATTCCAGAATTCCATGAGCTGTGTGAGCCCTGATAAATAAGGAAGTATGTTCAGAGGAAAAACAAAATTCCTGAAAAAATTATTAATACAAAGGCATATAGTTTACTCGTACAATTCAAAATCACTCACTACTTGCTCAAGTGGTTCCACACCTGTGTTTTTATTAGGTTGAACACAAAAGAAGATTTCTTGAAGAAAGCTGAAAATCTGTAAATTTTAACTTCTACAGTATATGTTTTTTCCTACTAATGAAGTTAATAGTTACCTGTTTCTAACTTTAAAAAAAAACTGTTTAATAGACTTGAATCGACTAAAACTTGGATCTTTCTCCCAATGTAAAGGACAGTGGTGATGAGAAAAAAAGGTTCATGATTCTGAAGCTGATATCAATAATGTTTAGGACAGACATGTCTGCACTCATTTTTTTCATGTAACAGTAAACTCATGTCATAAATGCAGGCATCTATTGGATCTCCAACATGCTTGTTCATCAATTTGTTTAAAAACCTTCTATCTACTATCTTTCGCAAATAACGCAGATTGCGTTTGAACATTCTGTCCTGTGGGTACATGGACATATCACGATACACCAAACAGTGATAACATTCACAAGAGAAAAAAGTAGAAAACCATTAGAAGAGCAATAACTAAAATGAATGATTAGAAGATGTATAGCATTTATACCAGCCTTTAGAAGGGAACATTGCTGTTTATAATATTTAATCTAACTGGACCATAGCAGGCCTTGATATTATCTTGAAGACAGGTCCGCAGGTAATGCTAATATCATGAAAAAAGGACTTTACAGGAATATGCTAAATAAAGAGAACCTGAAATACTTTACAATAAACTATGCACATGAAAAGGGTTTAAAGCAAACTAAAAACATTAACATTCAACTTAATCTGGGCTCTTTGACAATAAAAATGCCATATGAAACTATGAAACAAACTATGAACTGGCGTAACATAATTTCTAACTAAATCACGGCACCACAAAGTTCAAGGGTTTGAAACTGTTTGCTCAATATGTTAAGAACAGATGTCCAAAAGGAAAGACAAACACTAAGAAAGTATTTACTGATTAATTTACTCATTAAAATTATATTATATATATATATATATATATATATATATATATATATATATATATATATATATATATATATATATACAGTAGAAGTCAGAATTATTAGCCCCCTTTTGATTTTATTTCATTTTTTTAAATATTTCCCAAATTATTTTTAACAGAGCAAGGAAACTTTCACAGTATGCCTGATAATATTTTTTTTCAGGCGAAAGTCTTATTTGTTTTATTTCGACTAGAATAAAAGCAGTTATTAATTTTTTAAAACCACTTCTGGGACAAAATTATAAGCCCCTTTAAGCTAATTTTTTTTCAATAATCTACAAAACAAACCATCGTTATAACTTGCCTAATTACCCTAACCTGCCTAGTTCACCTTATTAACCTAGTTAAGCCTTTAAATGTCACTTTAAGCTGTATAGAAGTGTCTTGAAAAATATCAAGTAAAATATTATTTACTGTCATCATGTCAAAGATAAAATAAATCCGTTATTAGAAATAAGTTTTTAAAACTATTATGCTTAGAAATGTGCTGAAACAATCTTCCCTATATATATATATATATATATATATATATATATATATATATATATATATATATATATATATATATATATATATATATATATATATATAGGCCACAAGTTACATTTGCTGTTTTAGTGAGGGCATAATGTCATTATATGTTACTTCTCGTTCTCTTTAATAAAATACAATCAGAAAATACAGGCTCAAGTTGGATATTTTTAAGTCTAATTGTTTAAGATATATGGGAAAAAAGTTAAAGAAAAATGGAAGAATGAATAAACAATAGTTTCTGTCTTAGTTTGATCTGCATTTCAGCCAGATCTGTTGTCAATATTGCCTGAACTGATGGGATTGTGAATGCTGTAAAGTACAAACAGGTTTTAATTTGTCATGTAATTCCTACTAGAAAGCACATAATTTGTAATTGATTTATTGTTCAGCATGATAATTCTTTCAAACACACTGCTAATGTAATAAAATCATACTTGGAGAGAAAAACAGCTGATGAAAAATAAACAGTCATATTATGGCCCCCACAGAGTCCAAACTTGAATACTGTATACAGTATGTATAGGCAATATTATAGGCAGTATAAGACTCACCTGGAGAGAAAACGAAAGATTGAACCTTCTAAATCTAAAGGAAATCTTAGACATTCTGAAAGATGCTTGATATTAAATAGCACATTATTTCAGAAAAAACACACTAAAAATTTCAAGTTGTTACTTGGTGCTAAAGAGGTCAATTTAAACAAATACTTTTGATTCGAACAATAATATAGTTCTGAATATTGTTCACATTTCCCATATTTTTTGTTTGTATATTAAAGGTGTGGTTCACCCAAAAGTACGCTTCATACCTTTTAGATACATAGATTTGTGCAGAAGTCGTAGGCTCCCAAAGCTGGCGGTGGCCTAAGACTTTTGCACAGTAGTGCATATCTTTTTTTAACCCTGCCCTAATATTTACACCTTCATCGAGACATTGCAATAATCCACATGGGTGTATAACAGTAAACTTGCTGCTCAGGTATCACAAAATTTTTTAACCCTTAACTGATGAACAAAGCAGAACTTTACAGTATTTTACAGTATAAGAGTGGTGTACCTGCAGACGGTGAAGCAGAGGGCTCCACTCGCCCCGGCCCCAAACACAGCACACAGCACATTGATACTGTGTGCCGGAGAGCTAAGAGGCAGCAGGGAGAGCATCAGAGAAGACATCATGGTGAAGAGAGGATATCCTGGAGGATGAGCCACCTGTGGGGAAAAAACACTACTGTAAACCTACACGTAGAACCACCACCCATCATCATACAGTTCAGCTTTCAAAGGCAGACCTCAGTTTTACGGGTTACAGCGCCACACTGTCCTCCCCCTCCCTCAAAGTCTGATCTCCTGTCTCCTTGCCTTCCCAGCAATTAGGCACTAAGTCCCCTAAGGAGCGATAAGGACTAGAGCTATTAAAGGCTGTCTCGCTCCTACTAGCCTGATAACGCACACACAGGCACAGCAGGCTGGAAAATGCTGCGCACTTGAGCGAAGAGCAAGAAACCACTCGTAGAAGTGGTTGTTTGAGGGATGGATTGGAAACTCGGTGGACAAGCGGGTGTCTAAAAGCTAGTATGAGTTCAAGATCAAAGCAGGAATGGGGGTCCCAGCCAAATGATCCCTCTAAACAATTTTCATAAGGCTGAAGGCCATGTCAGTTAGCTTTACTGAACTGCGATAAGCCATAGTCAGGGAGTCTATAACTCATGAAGTAACTACATATTACTGAGAAATTTTAAAAAGCAATTCAAGTGTACACATGATCAAAACACATAAATTAAACAACTAGTTAAGGGAATGGCAAACTAACTGTGTTTACCCAAGGAGTAGTGAAAAATGTCAAATGTAATGTTCTATTAAACAAAAAAACATTGATTCAACTAAAGATTTTTAGGAAACTTGCTGCAGATTTTTTTAAGTTGACTCAATTTAAATCGAGTCAAGTGATACTTGGCTTAAAAATTGAGTCAACTCAAAACAGTTGTGCAGCAATTAGCCCTACGCTGCGTTTACACCAGACATGGAGGAAGCATCAAGCGTGAGTGATTTACATGTTAATTCATACTAGACATCCGTCAGCACGAATGAAGCATCGCAAGTTGAGCGTTTTGCACGACTTTTGCACAACTTTAACCAATCAGGAGCTTTCTCTTGTAGGGGCGTGATCATGATGTAGTGCCTGTTGTTGGTGTCCCAAGGGGAAATTGTCTTGCCAACACCAGACAACAGCTCATCAAGCTGGACTTGGCTTAGTCAAAAGCACCACTGGATACCTTCATAATCCAGGTATAGTTTCTGGATGAGTTAATGAAATAACAGAGCTGAGTGCACCTCTGAAAGGATCTAGTGGTGCCGAACGAATCTACTCTGTTTTTCAGCCTTCCTAAAGCAGAAAGCACAGCTAATCTTTCAATAAAATCCATGTCAGCCATTTATCCACAAAGTTAGAGTCACCGGGCAGACAGAAGTCCTACCCATGACGCTAATCTATTGTGAAGTGAATGTGACGTGCAAATGAAGCGAGTAAACTCTAAATGTTCAGTCATCTATTTAGGCGCGAATAGCGCAATTCGTCCACAGGAGCCATGTCCGCTGTGGCGAATGAATTATTATATCAGTGACTATTCTATTGACATTATAATATACATTTCCTAAATAAAATAAATCCTAAATGGAGTGTACCAAAAAATTTTATTGATGAAATTAATTTTGTAATCTAAACTTAAAATTAAGAAAATAGGCAAATGGGAGGGGGTGGGGGACAGTCATAAATAGAATTGCACTTTATATTCAAAGACAAAAGTCAGAAACGTATCTTATAATTGTTAGCGAAACTAGAAATTGCTAAATTATAATTTTTTAAAAATCTGAATTGTTGTAAAACTCACAATTTAGAGTAAAAAAATTAAAACTTCAAGTTGTTTACAAAATAGCAATATAGATTTTTTTTTTATTATTGTGAGAGTAACATTTTGAAAAATGTATTAATAGTACCAAATATGTGTCTTTTAAAGAGGGTTAAGCTGAAAGCATCTGTTGCATACAAGATCTGATAAACATCTTTGAAACACATTTATACATTTTATATAATACTGTTAATTACTTATCTTGTAGGTACAGTACTGTCAAAAATAGTAGTACAATAATGTAGAAATGTTTATGTTTCTTTTAAAAAACATCTTAAATTAATCAAAATTATTGAGATTTTTTGTATACACTAATAATTTATACATGAAATAACTGTATACATGGAAAAAAATGCTTATGTGATGGTAACGTTTCTTTACTTTACCCAGTGTATTAATTTTTATTAAAGTTATTAATTTATGCATAATGATTATTATTGTTATTTATTTGTTTGTTTATTTGTTCTCATTCCTGTCAAAATAAGATCCATTTAAGTGGTCTGTCAAGTAAGGGTAGGTAGGACGGCAAGAAAAAAAATATTACTTGTGGATTTATTTGATTCTGAAAATTGCAGATGTGAAAATAACAAATGTATAGATAAAAAAAGATGTAGAAATTCAAAATAATTTAAAAAATAAATAAATGGAGAATACAAATACGTAAATTGACAAATGTATATATTGGTATATTACTGTTTAAAATATTGAATGTATAGATATGTGCTAACTGAAATGTAAACCAAGTATGCTGTTAAATAAATAAGTGTAGGTGTTCCACACCTGATATCAAGACTTCATGAGATGGATTGCTTGAGGGAAGAAACTGTAGGTTAAATGTGGTGCAAAATGTTCTGTAGCATTGACCAGACGGTAAAAGTTCAAAGTGCGAGTGTGCTGGATGTGAGGATTCCAGAGTGATTTTGCCAATACCTCTCTTCGTTATATAGGAGTCGAGCAGGTGTCTCTTCAAAGGAGAGGCGGTGATTTGGATCACATCTTAGCTTACTGGATACATTAAATACTTCAATCCCAAATGGTTAAAATATGGACTCTAATCTGAGTTTTTTCAAACCAAGTATCCAATATTGATATATATTAAATTTATACCCATGCATTTTGATAAAGCTAATTTAATATTATGTAGATTTTGTGGATTAGTTTTTTATATTTTTGATGTTTGTATATCTTGTTTTGTTTGTATTTTTAAGTGTTAAATTGAAGATTGAATTAAGATAGCTCCATCTGTGAATAATTGTCCATGTAGAGCAGGTCAAAAAAAAAAAAAGTATTGAAACTGTCAACATTTTACTCAGAAAACGCATTTTTTAAAGGTGCTGTTGACTAGAAACTGTCCCCAGTTGTAAAACACAGCAATCCAAATAAACAAAGAAAACAGAACTAAACATTACGGTATGTGTAATAAAATTAAATGACACAGGATTAAAAGTAATGAACACATGAAGAAAGGGAGATGTAGAAAGGCATGGAAAGCCCAGACAGAAGCTAAAATCTTGTTTTTAGAATGCATCCCTCATCAGACGAAGCTGAAACTGCTATTCCAGGGGTGTCCAAACTCAGTCTTGGAGGGCCGGTGTCCTGCATATTTTAGTTTCAACCCCCATTAAACACACCTGAATCCACTAATCGAGCTCTTTCTAGGTATACCCCAGGGCCGAGTTTGAACACCCCTGTGCTATTCCCTTGTTAAGTCATGACTAGGCCCACACGGAATCTGCGCACTCAGAATTCCACAGATTTCCGCAGATTTGTAGCCATTCATCTATTCTTTTTATTTACTTGAGTTAATGTGTGTAAATTTATATTTATTCAGTTTTTAAATTAATTTCAGTATATATATATATATATATATATATATATATATATATATATATATATATATATATAGACTAATATGAAAATATTCATACAGTTTATTTACAATACAGTTTGTAAAGTAATATTTTCTGTCTGTTAGTATTTATTACATGAAAGACTTGCTTTGCTTTGTGAGAAACTTTCCAAATAAAGTGGATCTAATTGGATTTACATTGTGAACATTAAATAAAGGTTAAAAAGGTATTATTTTTTATTTCACATATTAAGTTTTTAGTTATGATACTCCCAAAATCATTCAGATTTTTAACAAAATTCTTAGCAGAAATAGCAAAAAAGTCTGCAGATTTTGTCTGGTCTCATGACATATGGTATAATGTTTCAGGGTCCAAGCCGCTACTTATTTGAATTAAGAAATTATTCGTTTATGACCACTTTTTAGTCATATCACACAATAAAGTGATTTTTATAGAAAATCAGGGTGTACACAACAGTCTCTGGACTTGCTGCATCACAAACACCAATATCTAAACAATTTGTTTAAAAAATATTTACTTTCTGGCCATCTGATATATGGCATGGATATATATTGTGATCATGATTTTCATAAGTATTACATTGCTTTGTAAACGTTTATTATTACCAAATGTTGAGTCTTCCCGTATAGTTTATTAGAGGGCTTGGACCCGGAAGCTGCTTCACGTGACGTCACACTTAACAAGCAGATTATCATGAAAGCATTTTATGCTAAGTATTAAATACATTCAGTAATAAACTTTCAATACTTTCTCTTTATGTCATTCCATTGTTATTAAAACAAAATTGTCTTTTTTTTTTTTTTGTATTTGTATGCTTGAATTGCTTGGGTTTTGGGATTGTTTTACCAAATATCTGGGTCAATGTCATGTCAGCAGCACCTTTAGAACTATATTTACCTGGAAAATTATGACATGAATGTTTTTACTTACCGTATATCTCTACAGACAATGTAAAAAGCAATACATTGACAAAGGCTCTTGGCCTTTGCAGTCAATTTTCTACATTATTACTTCGCTTATAGCATAATTAACTTTTTTAAAGGGCAGCTTGACTGTAGTTGAAAGATTTTAAATTATGAATCAAATCAGAAGCAAAGTAGCTTCCCAACAAAACCTTATTAGACACCTATACAATAAAACAGAAACGCAAATTAAAAATTCTTATTCAATATGAAGGAAGAACGGACAGCTTGAAGACAAGCAAGAGAGGTCAAAGCAGAAAAGAACAGAGAGGTTTGGGAGGAGAGACGGAGACAGGACAAAAGAAAGAGAGACAGTATGGCAAACAGATGGCAGGGGCGCGAAGGGCACGCTTGGAAGTGCCAGCAAGGTGTGTGTGACTGCGCAAGTGACGTGTGAGGCAAAAAAGCCAGTGCCACACGAGACCAGCGGCATGGAAAGAAACACGGAGGCATCGTGGGTCTGGAAGTGTGTGTGGTATGGCAGGAAATGGCTGAACGTGCTGTAGGGGGCAGTCCTGCAACGAGGAGTTTAAAAGAGAAAAGCTTCTCGGCTCCAGGGAGCAAGAAGGGAGGGCCGGCGGCCTGCGGCCCGGAGAGAGCCCTCCGACCCTGGGGAGAGCCGCAGACAGGCAGGCCACACGGACAGAGGGAGGGATTACTGGCATAGTGACACCGCCACAGCCTCCCTAAAAGGATCGCGACGGCGTAATAAACTTTATTAAATAATAAAACTTATTATAACTGTTAACCCGATTTAGTTCATTCTTTGCGGCTTACACACGCGCACACACGCATGCACAAAAAGGAGAGGGGTTGAGTATAATAAGCCTTATACCGTACATAAGGCGAAGCTTACAAAAGCCATCGCCTAACCATTCAGTCTAATTGGATTTGAAGAACAGGGTTGCAAATTATAGCATTCTCTAGTCCTAACTTAGTCAAAAAAAAAAGAAGTGCATAGAAAAGAAGAGAGGATAAAAAAAACCTGTGGCCTGAAAAGTAAATTAATCATCTTTCTTCTCCCCCCATACTTAATTAAACTTCCTTAATGCTTATAAGAGTTAATGAGTGGATTGATTAAACAATGCAGCTAATGCTTACCCCCAGCTCACAAGCAGCAGTGATCAGCTCTCCTGTGGTAGAAAAACAGAGAGGGAAATTAATGTAAACCCAATAATTATTATTAAGAGACAAGTCCGCTCCTGAAAGTTTTCCCAAATCAAATACTTGCACTGGGTTTTGCATTAATTTGCCCGGATCAAAACCTGCAAAATCTTCCCAGTGTGACATTTCCTAAGCGACACGCTCATTCTCTTCCATCGCACACGGCTCCCTTGATCCCCGAGCAGACAGACGCACACATACACAGGCAAATCTATTCACTCTTCCCATATTCCGTGACTTGAGGTGCACGCGCTGAGCCCCATCCGTCACTGTATGGCGAACACGGGCGTAAACGTCTGAAAGTCCCTCTGCGAGAAGCCACACACATACAAAAAGCTAGCTGTGTCTCTTAAGAACTTCTGTGTTTTCAGCTCCCACCATTCACTAATATCCGAGCCTGTAAACCATCAACACAGCACTCATTTAGGGTTACCACACTATCAGACCAAGTATAACATTTCCAGATGCTCATTATTATTATAGCTCAGCATATTTCTGTCTAAATGTCATCTGAATTATTAGACATTAAGACTATTGACTAGATTCCTCTGATTGGTTTAACAATGATTGTTTATGTGAGACCAGCCGTGTTCAATGATAGTATGTGAATTAAGTAATGTAATGTAATGTGTATTTATATAGCACATTTATTGTGTAGGGCCATACACCCAAAGCGCTTCACTATTATGGGGGGGGGGGGGGGTCTCTTCACACCACCACCAGTGTCCAGCATCCACTTGAATGATGCGACAGCAGCCACGGGACAATGACGCCAGAGCACTCACCACACACCAGCTATAGGTGAAGTGGAGAGACAATGATAGAGCCATTTCGATAGATGGGAATGATTGGGAGGCCATAATGGATAAGGGGCCAATGGAGGGAATTTGGCCAGGTTTTACACTGTAAAACCACTTATTTACCATACTCATATTTCACTCAAACTTTCCATGTTGCAAATTGCTTAAACAATTTGGCACTGTAAACTGAATGCAACTATTGAAATAATAAAAGTACACAGTATTTAAATTAAAAATGTAAAGTGAACTCAAATTTAGATTGTATTAAGCTAAACTTAAGAGGATAGTTTAGCCAAAACAATACGTTTTGTCATCATTTGAGTTTCTTTCTTCTGTTAGGCACAGAAGACGATATTCTGAAAAATCTTGAAAACTGGTAAATGGTTTGCCTTTTCTACTTCCATAGTACCAAAACCAATTTTTGGGTTAAAAGGTGTCATTTAAACTTAATCAAAAAACTTGTCAGAACGTTGGGTTTGTCCATATTTGACCCAACATTGAGTTACAACATTTTTATTAGTGTACTCCAGTACATTGCACTTTCAATATCCAGTAGGCGTTAACTCAACTAGTGGTCAATTCACATGTGAAAAACATAATTTGATGAATCATGACTTTGTTCTAAAAATCACTACCAATATTACAACAAGCTAGAAACAATGGGTCTCATTCACTAATAATTGCTATGTTAATAATATGTTACATAGTTACATAATTATATATACACATGCACATATAAATGTACCTCTATTCATACTCTCTTTTGCCCTACCCTGTAAATAACATATTTATATGTAGGTTTCTTTAGACATGCTAACAGTATAAAGCAATGGATGTACATGATTTTTGGGTACATGTGGTATTATTTTTTTGTACATTTAGAATATATTTTAGTACATATGTTTGACTTGACTTATTTGTGAAAATGTCTGTCAGCAGTGCAGATTACAAATATTTAAATTACTGTACTGAGTAGTTTTTCTCAGAAATTGTAATTTACTAAGTAGTTTTAAAAAACGTGTACTTTTACTTACCCTTGAGCGCATTTTTAGTGCAGTATCAATACTTTTACTCCACTACTTTCCTTCAACCTGCAATCACTTCTTTATTATTTCTTGTCTATGGGGATTCCTGTCCAATCAAACCGCACTTAGAAGGTAAATTGCATCAATGAACTACCTTAAGACATGCAGCAAACTGTTTGGAAGCATTAAAAGTGTCCAAGAGGATGTCCAAAATCTTTACACGCAACGACCCAGAAACTGTTTAGATGCATTACTGTATGATGACTGACACAAGACGTCAACATGACGTCAGATTGACGTTTTACCGCAATGTCCTGGGGACATTGCATTTTGTTTCGAAATGAAAATAGAGTTTACATCAGAACCCAACGACTTCAATGTCAACATCCAACCTAAAATCAATCAAATATCACCTTCTAATGATGTTACAGCTTAACAAACAAAATCCAATAGCATCAAAGTGGTTTACACTTTGATGCTATTGGATTTTGTTTGGCATACCTGATAAATAAATGTCAGAATCTGACGTCAATATGATGTTGGTTTAAGATGTTGACTCGACGTTGGATTTTTAGTTTCATATTTTTAATCAACTGATGTTATTGATACCAACTTAAACTTTTTTCTAAATAACAGTTTTTAGCAGAACAAAACTATTAACGATGTAGGTTAATTTGGGCTGAGAATGAGGACAGTGACAGGGTTTGTAAACAAAATGAGGAAGTTTCTAATAAAGAAAAAAAATCTGAGATCCAAATGAATGACAACTCGCAGAAATCAACCATCAGTCTATTTTAGAAATTTTGGGATGAAATACTTTTTATCCACTGTATTTATGTTTTTATTTCAGTGCCAGGTAATGTAAGTTTCTAGTAGAATGTCCCGTTTATAAAAGTGAATTTAGGGAAAATGTGCTTAAACGGTAGAAATTTCAACACTCTACAACCAAAATCTAGAAATCTACCAACAAAAACAAATCTTTATATTTATACTACAGTTCGGAGAATAATGGGCAAAAAGTCCTTTCGCCTACTAATCCTAAATGTTTTGCCCTGTTGTATAAATCTAACCAACGCCGCCTGATGCAACACTTGCCTAAACACTGTAAAATCCTATAATCTCAGCTCTCTGATGCAATATGAAATGTTCGACGCATCACAAAATTTTGAAATTTTTAGCTGGCACTTCCTGCGTATCACTAGCAGTTGCCTGTTTTCCTTGTCATGTTGGAAGTCCTCTATCTGTAGGTGCAGACCCCTCACACTTCAGCAGCCGAATTTGCTCTGCTTTCACAGTCTCATTTAGAATAGAAATAAATAAGCACGTGGCGAGGCCAGGTCTACCGCATTTCAAAGAGCGAGGATCTCCCTGTAATCAAAATTTCTCATGTTATACATCACAGTTTCATTCAGTTCAGTGTCTAGACCCCAACACAGAGCCCTGTCCCGTACAGGGAGGGGTGAACAGAGAAATAGAGTGCAAATGCAAAAGGACAGCGGTGGAAGGAGTGAAGTGTCTCTGTGATAGCACAAGCATCGGGCACTAACAGCAGCCTTTTTCCCCCCATAATCCCCATCATTTTCACACTCGCATTCCTAGACAACAGCAGTCCCGCGGGGCGCCCGCTCAGCCTCTCCGGGGCGCAGCACACCTAAAGGGATTAGGACTGCGAGACGGAGACCTGGAGAATTTCTGCCGAGCATTCAGCTGGCGCTATCACACCAGCATCCTGCAATGTCCCTAAACGCCACGCTTAAGGGGTTGGCCGATTTTTTTTTCTCTCTCTTCGTAAGCCCCAAACAGCTTCTTGCACCCCGCCTCCCCCAAAAGCCTCCAAGAGCCACCCGGCCCGTGCACATGCTGTAAAGCTCACGGAGCAGCAGCTTGTTGTTTGCATGCACCCTCCAGAAGAAAAACATTTATTTTTGTCTTTCTTTTAGTTAAGCTGCTTGTTTATAGGGCAGGGTGTTTTTTCAGCATTGCTCAGTCTATATGAGTCAAATAAATGTAAAGGCTAGCTCGCACTAAGAATGATAGCTTTAAAGACACGACATTGTGTTTACTATAATCACATGCTGCAGTTTTGTCATCTGACACTATAAAACGGGCTGGCTTCTAATAGGCTCATCCTTTAAAAAATCGATTGGTAACACTTAACGATAAGGTTGTATTAGTTTAAGTTAGTTCACGTATTTATTAACATGAATAAACAATGCTGATATTAGTTAAGAACAATCTTTGCTGATGTTAGTTAAGTTCATTGTTAGTTCATGTTAATTTTGCAGTGCATTAACTAAATGTCAATACGCATAAATCTGGATTTTAATAATGCATTAGTAAATGTTAAACTATGATTTATAAATACTGTACAAGTATTATTATTAGTTCATGTTAATAAATACATTAACTAACATTAACTAATGAAACTTTGTTGTTAAGTGTGACGGAAATATTGTTTAGAATGGAATTCGAACAACATAAATTCTCTGCGTCACAATGACTGTATTTTTGATGTAGATTAAGTTGTATTAAATTTAATTTAAATGAAATAGATTTTTTTTTAAATCTATTATAAAATATTTATAAAATATAAATTGCAAAAAAAATATTATAAAATATAAAAATGCAAAAAAGGCTTCATATTTATATCTTTAATAAGATATTATTGCAATGACCATGTAAATACCATGTGCTTGAATGACCAAACCAAAAAATGTTTAAACCTTGAATAAATGTCATTTTGCAGATTTTAATAATTCTATATAAACTTCTGTTTACATGTATTGTTCACAAAATATTAAAATATATATTTTTTTTATTTTCAATTAACTTCAATTTTAGCTCAGAGTTAATAATGAAATAATATTAAGTTTTAGGAAGTCACTCCATATCGCACTAGCCTTGTCATTAAAAATTTTTCAGAGGATCATTTTTCATAAAGGGGGTTTGCATGAGCACATTTAATAATTCATTTTTACTTTGTTATGGGAAAAGTTAAAGTACTTTATAAGAAAAAATATTAACACAAAACTTTTTTTGGTGGGGGGAGACAAAGGATTTTTTCATATACTGATAAACAGTGAAGAACTATAACTATATACATACAACCCTCACAAATCTCTCATTTAAATTATTATTTTCAATAGAAAGCTATACAATATTATATTTGTGCAAATACATTAGGTTTGTCAGTACTGAAGCCAAATCTGGAGGTAATCTAACAAAATAGCTTATGAAAACGGTAAAAATGAGTACACCTAAATTTATATATTAGGTAAACATTTTAAATAATTTTTTTTAAAAGAGCAAAATTCAAGAAAAACTAAATAAATTAAAATTTTGTAGGTTGTATTTTTTCCAATATTTTGCATGACTTTAGATGTATTATATTTCTATTTCAGTGACTAAAATATTATTTTAATAAATATATCCATAAATCGGTTTTGTTCAAATGCACCAAAATACATTACCTGTACTCGCTTATAAATGGATAAAAATATTAATTTTTAAATTATGTTGAGCACCGTAGTTATATACATCTATAAATAATAAAGCACCTAATATTAGAAAACATTAAAATAATTCAGAGAATCATCCTTCGTGACAAAAGTTGTTGACTTGTTAATAAGCAGCAAATAATTTGAATCTATAATGAAACATCTGAAATATTTAATAAAACAAATATTTATTTTAAAATAAAATGTTTTTTTTTTCAAGAAAGGACAATCATCTAATTGAGCATATGTAGAAATGTCAAGGCAGTTATATCCCTGTGATAATCTTACTTAATTCTGCATAATAAATATATAATTAAATATTTGAAGATAAGCAAAATAACAGAAATTGCATAAGAAGATAAGAAAAGAGGCTAATACAGGTCTGACTATTAAAAGTGATAGAATTCTTCGATTAACTATGACACATCTTACAAGAAAGCAATCCTTTGCAAATTTGCCCAATTCTGCAGTGCATTATTATCATCATGTACAGTGTTTCTCTCTGTTGTGATTAGTGGTCTGACGTCACTCCAGAGGGATTAGTAATTCTGTTTTCCTGACAGCTTTGCGAGGGAAACAGACACACTCTTCTATGTCTGACCCAGCAATAAACAACCTTCCTATTTGTTCAAACGGATGATTTATGTAATATGCACAGAGAACAACAGTTGTTATTTGTGTACGCTGGGTTGATTCCTGTTGGCTACTGCAAAGTATCTGAATAATGAATTCTGCTTCTGTAATTCCCTGAACAAAATATTTTCTCAGGTTATGGACAAATCAAGCCAAGCAACTTCTTAGTTTTCTGAATTTCACTGTCATTTTTGTTTTGTTCTGCAAAATACTGAAGACATTTCTTTCATTTTAAATACAAAAGATGTCATTTAGAATATAAATTGACAATTGGTCAATATAACAAAAACACTAGGTATTCAGGCAAGTTTATATTAGTTTTAGACAATATACCAATAAATTTAAAAATATAGTTCACCCATTTTGTCACCCTCAAGTATACGCAAACCTTTAGGAGTTAAATATAAAAGATGATATTTTGAAGAAAGCTAGAAACATTTAACCATTTACCTGCAAAGTATTGTTTTTTCCAACTAGGAAGTCAATGAGTTACAGGTTTTTAGTTTTCTTCAAAATATCTTCTTTATTGTTCGGTGTTCATTGTTGGGTGAAAAACTCCTTTAAGTTAATACCTTTATATTATGTCATTTAAAACAGATTTGACTTGTCTATATAACTTGTAAAACTTGACTTGAAAAAACTTGTCTGAAAACACAGTACCTTTTTTGTAATGTTGACCAATTTATTCTCTAAAATTTATTCTCTCAATTCATTTTCTAAATTACTTTTTTCATGTCTTATTTGGAAAAAATTGTTAGCAATATAACAAAACTAACATTACTATTTAGTCAATAGCTAGAGAGAAAATTCAGAAAAACTGTCAAACAAAAGTAAATTACTACAGAACTTTCATTTTTGTGTGATCTGTCCCTTTAAGAATAAAAAATATATATATATTCGGTGGAATAACCCAGATTTTTAATCTCAACAATAGTTTTCATTTGTTAGGATAGGGCAGGGACAAAAGTAACAAATCGATTTTCTCGAATCCCTGACAACATCTGATTTCCAGGCTATGACAGCACATTCAGCATGCAACCCTTGATGGAAATCCCAAATATCGAATGATTTCGAGACCGTGTCTAGCAGTTAGCTCCGAATTCTGTTATTAAGTGCTAAAAGTAAACTATTGTAGCGGTTCTTTTTTACTTATTACAAGTTGTGTTTCTCTTTTCATAAGTCACGCTAATTATCAATCTAAAGGTTATTTAGTGAAATAAAACTTCCTTGAGTTTGAAATGTTTGAGTTTTTCACTATAAAGGTAAATCAGGTTTAAATGGGAAGAGTTCCTGTAGGGAGCAAAGTAACACTGTTATTAATGTCCCACTGCTAATAGACAAACTTTATTTTTCATTTGCACATTAGGGTGTGCAGTGTTTGGATTAAGATCTTTTAAAAAATGAATGCATATAGCCAATTATAATAAAAAAAATTCAAAAGTGTTAACATCTTGCACTGTTGGATTGCTTTTTAAACATGTAGTGGAACTGAAATTTAACATTTAAATGCAGTTGAATTTTTTTGCAAAAATAAAGGACAAAATATGTTTGCAGTTAACATTAACAACGTCATAGTCAGATATATTTGAAATAAACAAGATTAAGCCAGTAAATCTAGCAAATATTGTTGTTACTTTTGATCCACCCCTGTGTTACTTTCGTCACTGCGTGTGGGGTCAAAAGCAACAATGTGAATGTGAAGTTATATTGGGGTCACCAACATGTTACCACCAGGTACCCTGCGAGGATCACATGAGTTGCCAGTGGACCTGTTAAATTTTTTTTCTAGCTATTCTTTTTAAAAAAACACTTGCATTGGTGTAAATTTTAAAATAATCTTAAGTTTTATATATAAAAAATATATACAAAATATTTATAAAACAGATTTCATATTAGCTAGCTGGTCTTCACAGCAATGGTTGCGGGTGCAGTAAAGAAGAAAAGCATATCGTTTTCACAGTGAATCGGAGGAAGAGTTTTTGTTTTTTTACTTCATTTGGTGACGGCAAAGCAGCACAATGTTGAGAGACATTTCAGAATGTGTCACACAAGCTAACATTATCATGCTAACTATCCACCAAGCAGCACACAGCAAGTAGAAAAAGTCTAAACAGTTTGTGAAAACAGCAGTCTTTTTTCACAAACCAGTGAAACCCCCCCCCAAAAAGCAATTAAAGCCTCATTTAGAGTTGCACATTTTTTAGAAAAACAAGGCATTTTTTGACAGGAAAGCAAAGCTGTGCTTAAAGACTAGAACGGATGTAATCTCCACTATTTTCATGAAGCTACAATGCTTAGAAGAGTGTCGGCTATGTTAAAAATGCTGTAGATTTGGTGATAATTTCAGTAAAATCTGAACGTTGATTTATGTTACCCAATTGATAATCTGTGCAAACTGTTTAAAATTGTTAGTGGCAAGTGAAAATATTGTGGAAGTGGTCATTTGAAAATGTAAATACACTAGAAATAAAGTGTTGCATATTGATATTTATCTATTTCCTAACTTGTTAAATCATTGTTGACAACTATTGTGAGAAATCATTACATGAACGAATATCATTGATTATTAAGAAATAATATATAACTAAAAGTAAACTGAGCAAATTAGTTATTTGAGAAGCGCGTGTCAAACAGGTAGCCCCTCGCATTAATCGGTACCCAAGTAGCTCTCAAAAAAAAAGGTTGGTGACCCCTGTTCTACAATGATACAAAAAAACGCCTGAATTTGATAGACCACACTTTTGAGTTAGTAACCACAGCAAAAATATATATCTGCTAAAAACATGATCAAGAAAAATTTTACTTTCCTCCCCGCTCTCCCCTACTGTCATTTCCATTTTCTGATATTTTTGTTATCAGACCTTTATAGAATAAAACAAAGATGAAAACACTCAAACATACATTAAAAAGAAATACATTTTCTTAACAGCAAAGTTCATTTTAAGCCAATTGGTCAGCAAACATTTTTTTTGGTTTCACCGTAAGTGGTCTAGAAAGCCGTTTAAAAAAGATAAACGGTATAATCTCAATAAATCTCATGCAGTTCATATTTGCAAAAGCTTCATGACATACACTGTGTATGTGATATAACAGAGTGCTGTTCTGTGATAGGCTGCGTGTGATATAAACACAAACACATGACTGACTGACTGCTGTATACCTGAGTCTCCACCGGGCACAGCGCGCGGAGCACAACCGACATACAGCGCTGAAACCCCGGCTACTGTCGCTCCCGTCAAACTCCACGTCCACCTGTCCGACGACATTGCAAACCTCTCCTAAAGTACGAAGGAAGTTTTTGTTGTTTAAATGTTCATTAATGTCATATGTTCATTGCAACTTTGGTGTCGAAACTCATTCATTCGCGCAACTGGTTTACAATCCTTAGCGTACTCAAAAACACCTAGAATATACACATATTATTGCGACATATACTTATCACGATACACAGGGATGTAAACAAATAAACGGAAGCTGTATTATCAATATAATGTGTTAGGATAAAACATATTTTTAAGTTAACGTTACCTGTTATCCTGGTGGCGGTTTTTATGTATAAAGCATTGTAAACGTTGCGGCTTTCGCGCCAAACTGAACGTTAGGATGATGGCGTCAATAACGTTTTTATCTTAGCAGAAATCATAATCTAGACAACATCTCAGCTGCACTGTTCATCTTTTTTCACGTTTTTGTCCGCCTGGACTCGAGGATAATGTTGGATTTTGCTTCCTGGTTGGGCGAGGCTTGTCAAATTACCATAGTAACCGTAGTAGTTGTTAAACAATTCTTATAGACCGCCATTAAGCTTTTAAAATGTTTGTTATTTTAATTATTTAAGATATTTTTTCTTTCTTTTTTAATGATAATATCTAGTACTTAATATAAGTTTCCATAGTATAAATTAGTAACAGTGTCATGTTTTTGATTCTTCTTTTTTTGTCACCATACATTTAACCATTCTACAGTAGATTCAGGGTTGTCATTTAAGGCTCTGGATCCATCATAATCTGGGGCTAGTTGCATTGACACCATAAAGTTTCCAAACCTATGAGTTTCTTTCTTCTGTTGACCACAAATGAAGATATTTAAAAGAGCTTCTGAAAACCTGTAATCTTCCATGGTAGGAAAAATTATAAAATGGAAGTCAGGTTTACCGCATAATGTCTTCTTTAGTGTTCAAGAACCAGGACTAGGTTATCCAACTAGCAGTTAGCAAAGGAGAAATCTTTTTGGATTCAAATTTGAGTGGTCAACCGTTTTGTAACTCGCCTTAATGGTGACTAACTTTTTAAGAGTAGTCTATGCACTCAATGGACACTTTATTAGGTACACCTAACAATTACGCAGCCTTCAAGGCTGCCTTAATCCTTCATGGCATAGATTCAACAAGGTACTGGAAATAGTCCTCAGAGATTCTGATCCATATTGACATTATAGCATTAAGCAGTTGCTGCAGTTTGTCAGCTGCACATCTTTGATGCAAATCTCCCGTTCCACCACATCCCAATGGCTTTATTGGATTGAGATCTGGTGATTGTGGAGGCCATTTGATTACAGTGAACTCATTGTCATGTTCAAGAAACCTGAGATGATCCGTGCTTTATGACTTGGTGTGTTTCCTGCTGAAAGTAGCCATCAGAAGATGGGTAAACTGGTCATAAAGGGATTGATATGGTCAGCAACAATACTCTGGTAGGCTGTGGCGCTAACATGATGCTCAATTGGTACTAATTGGCCCAATGTATGCCAAGAAAATATCCCCCACACCATTACACCACCAGCAGCAGCCGTGTTGTGCATTCACAGATGCTCTTTTGCATACCTTAGTAGTAACGAGTGGTTATTTGAGCTATTGCTCCCTTTCCCAGTAGATCAGTAGTTTCTGAAATACTCAGACCAGGCCGTCTGGCACTAACAACCATGCCACATTCAAAGTCACTTAAATCAACTTTCTTCCCCACTCTGATGCTTGGTTAAAACTGCAGCAGATCATCTTGACCATGTCTACATGCCTAAGCCTAAATGCATTGAGTTGCTGCCACTTGATTTGACTGATTAGAACTTTGTGTTAACAAGCAGTTGGACAGGTGTACCTAAAAAAGTGGCCAGTGAGTGTACAGTCTATGCAACTGGCCCCTGGTGAATTGTGATAGTCATTTCATTATGAGCAATCATACTGTTAAACCTATTATTTCTGCCTTCAGAATATTTTTAAAAATATACATAATTAGGCCTATATTTAGGGCGAAGCAGTGGCGCAGTAGGTTGTGCTGTCGCCTCACAGCAAGAATGTTGCTGGTTCGAGCCTCGGCTCAGTTGGCGTTCTGTGTGGAGTTTGCATGTTCTCCCTGCGTTCATGTGGGTTTCCTCCGGGTACTCCAGTTTCCCCCACAGTCCAAAGACATGTGGTACTGGTGAATTGGGTAGGCTAAATTGTCCGTATTGTATAAGTGTGTGTGTGGATGTTTCCCAGAGATGGGTTGCGGCTGGAAGGGCATCCGCTGCGTAAAAACGTGCTGAAAAGTTGGCGGTTAATTCCGCTGTGGCGACCCCGGATTAATAAAGGGACTAAGCCGACAAGAAAATGAATGAATGAATGAGGCCTTTATTTAGTTAGCTTAGTTTAATTTAATTTTAAATTAAAAACAAAGGCAATGTTTAAAACCATAATACCATAGTAACCAAAGTAAAATCAGCCTCAATGATAACAAAGAATACAGAAAAGATTAAGGAAAAGATTTAAAAGTAGAAAAAGAAATGGGAAGATCTAATATTCCAGAGTCTATAGAAGCAGCCACAGAGACCATCTGGATAGTCACCTTTAGTTGAATCCATTCAGCTGATCTTCAGGCTGGAACATGTTTAGCTTAGCTTAGCATAAATCACTGAATCGGATTAGACCATTAGCATCTCTCTCAAATACCAAAGAATTTTAATAATTTTCTTGTACCTTGACACTCCTGTAGTTACATTGTTTACTAAGACTGATGAAAAATTAAAAGTTGCTATTTTCTAAGCTGATATGGTTAAGAACTATACTCCCATTCTGGCATGACAGAAAGGAAAAATTACCTTTGCTGCCATACCATGGCATCACTGTTACCCTTTTTCAGGTGATGCATGATATCATTACTAAATAAATAAATATGCATAATAAAATTAATTTTAGCAACTTATTTTTGATAAAAATAAATCTGAAGCAAATGTATTGTATGTTAATATTAGTGTACTTGTTTTTTACATTATTACATTATTATTGCCTTTAATCATTAATACATTGCAGAAATATTTAACATTTTGATGGTGGTGTTACTCCAGAGAAAAGGAAGGATAATTAAATTAAATTCATATTTGAATTGATCTGATAATTGCACTCACTCGTTGTCAGACAATGTCCTGGAAAATGCTTGTCATATTTTCTCAATACGCTAACTTTGATTGGTATTCAGTGTTGTCACATTTAAAAATGTCAAACCTACTATGCATCAACATGAAACGTTTCAAAGTGTTGACACCAAATTTCATATACAGTTGAAGTCACAATTATTAGCCCTCCTGAACTATTATTTTTTACATTTCTGTTTAACGGAGAGACTTTTACAGCACATTTCTAAACATATTAGTTTTAATAACTTATTTCTAATAACTGATTTCTTTTGTCTTTGCCATGATGACAGTAAATAATATTTTACTAGATATTTTTCAAGACACTAGTATTCAGCTTAAAGTGAAATTTAAAGGCTTAACTAAGTTCATAAGGTTAACTAGGCAGACTAGTTAGGGTAATTCGTTCTGTAATGGGCTAATAATATTGACTATCAATGGTCATATAAAATAAAAACTGCTTTTACTCAGTTCAAAATAAAACAAATAAGACTTTCTCCAAAAAAATAAATAAATAAAAATTATTGGAAATACTGTAAAACATTCCTTGCTCTGTTAAAGATCATTTGGGGAAAAAATCACTAATAATTTAGAGCTACAACTGTACCATATATTGACAAATTTCTTACTCAATTCAATTTTTCTTATTGCATGTATTATTGTTGGACAATACTGTTGATTTTATATACAGTAATAAAAGCAAGTATATTTTAAGGGAATAGAATAATTACCTAAAAATGAAATGTAATCCTAAAAATTATTTAAACTTTTTAAATTTAAAATTAAAATTAAAAATTTTTAAACAGAAAAGTAATAATTTAAAAAAAAAAAACATTACTTTGTTACTAAACCCAGCACTGTTTGGCAACGTTGACTGAAGTTATCTTTGATTAGTCTCTTTGTTTTTTTAATGTGTGTGTGTGACTAATTCATTTAGGCTTCAGTGCTGAAATTATTTTCTGAATTTCTACAGTGGCATTTGTGCGATGTGGATGCAGTGTGAGACCTTTCAGCGCCTGACGAGAGGAAGGGTTACCCTCATGAAAATGTCATGCTAGACTGATCATTAATCCTCCACTATCTAAAGTGAGTCTGATCCTTGACTAAATTGAGAGCTCGGAGAGGTAGAGATGTGTCAGCGCCTCAGAGTTCATAATCCTACACGCTTCCCTTTACTACCGTTCCTACTGTCTAATCACTGTTTCAGCTACCTACAGTAAACCTGACACACATACATAGCTTTCTTTTTACTAACACACATACATAGACTTGTTCCTGTATATTATATTATATTATATTATATTATATTATATTATATTATATTATATTATATTATATTATATTGTATTATATTATATTTTATTATATTATATTATATAAATCATAGTTAATGTAGAATTTGAATGCATCCTGTTTAATTAAATGAATAATGTTTTATACATGATTCTCAAAAGATCCACTAAAATATAATTCCGGTTAACGATAAGTTTAAAATGCCATATAGTATGCCATTTTTGATGTTATATTAAAGGGTCAATTGAGTGGTCACATTGAGGCCCCAAAATCCTAATTAATTGCCGTTTTATTATTCTCACCATTCTGTTATCTTTCTAAAACACATTACAAAAATATACAAAATAAGGGACAACAAAACATATAACAGTGAGCAAATATACTGAAGAGTGTTTCAGAAAGGAGGTTGAGTCAAAACTCAGAGTATGTAACCCTGAAATGAGAGAAACTCTGGGTTTTCCATTTCAAAATGTCAGGTTGGTCAAACTAGAGAAAGCAGGGTAAGTCAAGCCTGTTTCTGAAAGAGTGGTAACTTACTCTGTGAACCTAACCTGGTCAGGAGCAGGTTTTATTCTCTTAACCGAGTTTCTGTTGGTCTGCTCCCCCTTTCTAAAGATAAATCAGTATTTCTCGCCTCAGCCTTAGTCATTTCTTGCCTACATTTCAGTCGCACAAAGAACAAAGTTACGAGAATGACTTGTCCTTTTTTGGGGGGAAATTACAGTTAGATTTAATACCATAGTTTTAAGTTTTACCTTTGATATTACTGCGAAAAATAAACAATGTGCCTAAATTCACTGACCTTCGACAGGGACATGTACTGTAACAAGATTAATCAGATTTTTCCTCATTCTATAAGTCATTTTCAGTACTGCTTAAATTCTAAATGTCATATCATCCTCTACCATTTAATCAGTAAAAAAGGCAGACACACAAGTGCACTTTTACATCTTTTAAAAACTCAATTTTATCCTAAACTGATGAAGGTTTCCAAAAGTGGGAACCTTAATTTAAACATTCCAACTGAACATTGAGTTAAGGTCATGGTTAAAGGTTAAACTGAGTTTTTAAGGTCTCGGTAAGTCAACTCAGAGTTTAAGTTTAAACTCCAAGTTGGTTGAACCTCCTTACTGAAACAGGCCCCAGAACTAGTATCCAGTAGCAAGATGGAAGTTGGAGGTGGGGACTCAATCAGAAAGAACAGGGTCAACCTGAAGAGTTTGGACATGTTTGCAAAGGGGTTTCCACAGTTTATTGAAAATAAATAGTGCTAGGTCGGTGAAGAGAGTACCTAATTTTCTCTAGTTTCATAAAATAAATAACATTTGTTATCCAACAATCATGAGAAGGAGGGTAAGGGCTCTTCCAGTTCAGAATCCTAGAAGGCTAAGAAGGCTACAAAGTCTGCAAAATAAGAGGGTAAAGTGTAGCCAGTTGGGAAAACCCCAATTTAACCAGCAACTGGAAAAGGTGGAATATCAACAGTAGCAAACAATGGAGACGAAGGTTTGCCTCCAAAAAGAAAGCAGGAAAGGGCAAGACCAAAATGTATAAATGAAATAGCTGAATCAGAATGATACCTGTCACACTCAGAGTCAACTTCTCACCATTTGCCACTGTCTTTCAAAACCATTAGTTTTTACACATTCGTCATCTAAAAGACTCTAATATTTTATACTCAAACTAAATTGTATTATGATCATTTATTATATTTTATATTTCAATGAGTTAGATGTTTTTATTTATATCTTTATTACTGAATAGCCATGGATATTTTCAATATAAGCACACAATAAAATTAAGTATAATTAAGTATTTGCTAACACTTTATTTTGATGGTTAATTTGAGTATAAGTAGACTGTCTGCTTAATATCTGTTGATACTGCTCCTTCAACAGACAACCTTAGCCTCAACCTAACAGTCAACTAATGAGAATTCGTTTGCATGTAGATGCAATGTAACTTAAATTCAACAAACGGACCATCAAAATAAAGTGTGGCCAAGAATTTTTTACAAGCAAACATCTGCAAAGCCAAATATATTGTATTAGGCAGGAAACTGCATGAGTCAATTAGAGTACAGTATTCATAAAATTCAGAGTTGAAGGATGTTAGAATTATTCATGTGGGTTGAAATGTTAAAGGCTTATTTTTTTCCCTTTCTGACAGGTTAATCTGGGTGATTCTATGTGCATTTTTAACTCTGCATCATTCTGTTCTTGGTAAATCTGCAGCTCTTAGAGTTCACAGGTTTGTTTTAGTAGCCTATAAAGTCAAAGTATTTTATTCAGAAAAAAAATATTTTTTTTTTCTTTATAGAAAGACGCTTGCTGACTTCAGCCAATGTGGAGAAGACATCATAAAATGCGCAGCGTTTTAAAAGCAAAGCCAGCATGCTAAAAGGTACTACTTCATATATTGACATCTGCACATGAATTCAATCGCTCTGTGCATCAGTGAAAACTGGATTAGGTTTTCCTAAATCGCAGATAAATCCGCCACTCATGGCAATATGTTTCAGCTCCAGCCTGTTGCTTACTATCTGCTTACTTACTGTACACTGACAGTCTGTTTTAATCTAAACCCAAGAGCCTAGCAAACAAGTGGATTTTCAATAAAGCCCTTTAAAATCTGTAGAGAAAAATCCCATGATCCTCTGTGTTAGCTACACAAATATGCGCAGCAATGAAAGGATTCGCTCTAAAACAGATTAATTGCAGTGGTAAATGCAACATTTCTCTCATGCGATGTGCTACCAGGGCAGCCTATTTTATTAATATACAGCTCTATCAGACAAGCTTTTCACAATCTCCGAGACAAGCATGTAATGATATACAGTTTATTGAGATCTCCATTTCTAGAAAACCAAAATAGTGATTCTTGCGCACATCAACGGACTATTCAAGGTGCATTGAGGCCACCTTTGTCTCCTGTTTACCTCCTTGTGGTTTACAAAGCACTCCAATTAAAATTGCAGAGATTAGGACAATTGTGATTAATATTCTTTGGTGGGGCCTCGAGTGCGAGACACAACAAAAGCAAGGGCTGCTTGGAATTGCCTTGAGCAGAACACCTAATGGCGGCCAATTAAAATAAGAGGATTCAATTTGGCCAAAGCAACAGGAACCTACAGATAATGCATGTATCTGAAATTGCAGTAGATACCACACTCTTGATTTGGCTTCTATCATGTTTGTTATGGTATTTTCGCTAATGACCTGCAGCCGCTTGCAACAAACCTTTAATAAAACCCTATAGGGTTGAAAAAACGAACAAAAGATTTGATTAGCTTAAAAAAAAGGTTCGGTTTCAAATAAGGAGTGAATTGTAAAAACTAAGAAAACATTTGAATTTGATCACATAAACCATTCAGAAATAAACTACCACTCCCTTTTACTTTTTAGTTTTTTCTAATATATAAATGAGGTATTAAAAACACTTACATGACTAAAATAATACACTTTTTTACTGTCAAATGTAACAAATGTCCTTACTAACACATTTAGTTGGCTTTACTTGTTGTATTTTATGCTGCAGCCACACTAGAGTTTGAGCATGCAAAATTCTGTCTTACACCACTGCGAAAAGGGGCAAGATAAAACAAGATGTTTCGACATTTAAAAAAGTGAGTGATTGGTCCATATTTTAAATATAAGACATGTACGCAACATCCTTAATTTATTATCTTAGGTAAGGTGAGATCTCATGCTTAAAGGGTAATTGTGCTTATGCAATGGCAAAGTTATATAAAGCTTGAAGAATCAGAATCGGTACTCAGTATCAGCTGCAAAAATCCTGATCGGAGCATACCTAATTATTTCTTTAAAACTTGGTTTACTACTTTTAAATTTACATTTGTGAATGTAACATTTTGTTAGCAATATAAGTAAATTAAATAAAAACTATTTTGATTAGGATCATTACAGCCAAAACTTAATTTTCCCATACCAATGAAAGAGGTTTTGAACACTGAAAATTGTTATAAATAAATTTTTGCACCTCACCCCATTCGTTGACATAAGATGCCAAAGTAAGTGTAAAGCCGCCTCCTCATATTTATTACAAAAAATACAACTTGCATCAATCCGACTTTTAAATTTTTGAAAATATTGTTTTGCTGGATATAATCCAGCGTGTTCCTAAAGTGATGTTTGTGTGGCATATTTAAAATTTCTGTACAGAGAGGTCATCGATTGATCTTTGCAATGCAGTGAACTGCGAAACTTGTAGCTCGAGTTTACGTTTCTGGTCTGCATGCGTGTAAATGGAAGTCTATGGGCCGAAAAGTGCAGTGTGACCGTGACCAAAAACTTACAAATTATTAGTCAATTTAACATAAGTTAGACTTAACAAGTTTTTTTCCCAAGGGCCATTAATTTCCATCCTTTCAGAAGTAAGGTTAACTAACTAGATTTTACAATTAGAATGATTTCTGATGGATCACGCTACTGAGGAATGATGTAAATTTAGCATTTTCTTCACAAGGAATACACTTTAAAACATTAAACGTGTTTTTAGTTGTAATAATGTTTCACAATCACTGTTTTGTGCTCAAATAAGTAAATGAGCTTATAGGCATAATTTAAAAACAAATAAAAAACACAGTTTAATGACCGCAACTATTTAACAGTACTGCAATATGCAATGAAAAAAGGGGCTCATGTTTAATACATGATACCTACTGCATCACCTAATGAATTGAATTTAAACCTCAGTGTAGCATTTGGTCAATAAAATATGACAAATATGAAATCCAACCCCAAAAAAATTGACCTGAATAAAGTAGTTATCATTCATTCATTCATTTTCCTTCAGCTTAATGCCTTCTTTATAAGAGGTCGCCACAGTGGAATGAACCGTCAACTATTCAGGCATATGTGTAACACAGCCGCCCTTCAAGCCGCAACCCAGTATTCAGAAACACACACACTCTCATTCACATACACTCATACAGTACGACAAATTTTGTTCATTTTAATTCATCTGTACCTAATATCTTTGGACTGTGATGGGCACCCAGGAGAACCCAGAGGAAACGTACAAAAACACAGGCACAACACACAGAAATGCCAATTGGCCCAGCCAGGACTCAAACCAGTGACCTTCTTGCTGTGAGGTGACAGTGCTAACCACTAAGCAATCGTGTTGCATAAAATAGTTATAACAAATAATAAGTATTTTTTATTGTATAAATTACATTGCGCCTTAGGAGTGTCCCTTAAAACCATGTACACAAGTATGTGTGTGTGTGTGTGTGTGTGTGTGTGTGTGTGCGTGTGCGTGTGCGTGTGCGTGTGTGTGTGTGTGTGTGTGTGTGTGTGTGTGTGTGCGTGTCTGTATTTGTGAGACTGAAGATGTGCATGAGGGAGAGTGAGACAGCACATCACAGCATGGGCTCGATGTGGGAGCAATCCAGTTACTTAAACTGATCAAGATTTAATTAACACAACGCTCGGCAATTACTCTGTAATTAAAGTCATTTGTCCTCTTGTGGAGCTGAGAGTGCCACTGCTGCCATAGAGCTGAAATTAAAGAGGGGGATGATGAGGGGCTCAGTGCTGCTCATGTTTTTGTGTATAGCTGCCCTAGACCTATAAATACACTGACTGTGTTTTCATTGGAGAAGACTGGGGGAACGAACTGTAGATGATGTATATGTACAATGTGTAGAGAAGCAATTGGCCCTGCTTTGAATTTGTTGCAAATTAAAATGAGAACATTGGTTAATTATTAACTGTAAAAAAAATATGACATGACAAAGTCATGACAACAAGTGATATTCCTTCAACTCAATTTAATGAGTTAATCAGGTTTCAGCCTGCTTTTATAGCTCCTGTATACACTATATAAATATAAATGATCAATAAGTCCTGACAGCATATGATTTAAAGTCATTGTAACTTATTAAAGTAAGTTAATCTTACTTAATTTTATAAGTTACACCAGCTGTTTTAAGTCAGTTAAACATAATATAAGTTTAATGAACTCATAGGTTTAATTTGATTCAGCTTAAAAATTTAAGGCAAACAGGATGTTTTTTACAGTGTACAAAGTTTAACATAATTAAAGTTGAGATGACTAGAAAAGTTCATTTGACTTAACTAAAATATATACAGTGTTATAACAAATTGCCTGGAGTCTGCTGCAAATATAACAAATTAAATACAGTTTGTTTGTTTGTTCGCATCAGTGTTCTTCCATTTTTTTCAAGCATATTATGATTTAGAGATATGTGTTTCAGAGAATGGGGTTTATTCATTGAATATTTCATTCATTCATTCATTTTCTTGCCACAGCGGAATGAACCGCCAACTTATCCAGCAAGTTTTTACGCAGCGGATGCCCTTCCAGCCGCAACCCATCTCTGGGAAACATCCACACATACACACACACACTCATACACTACGGACAATTTAGCTTACCCAATTCACCTGTACCACATGTCTTTGGACTGTGGGGGAAACCGGAGTACCCGGAGGAAACCCACGCGAATGCAGGGAGAACATGCAAACTCCACACAGAAACGCCAACTGAGCCGAGGATCGAACCAGTGACCCAGCGACCTTTTTGCTGTGAGGCGAACGTGCTACCCACTGCGGCACTGCGTCGCCCCTTAAATATTTCATTGGGTCATTATTAAAAGTTTTTTTTTTTTTTTTTAAAACACTGTCTTTATTTATTTTGGGAGCTTTTAACATGTACTAAAGAAATCAAAACCAAACATACAAAAAATATTAATATTATATACAAAATAAATAATAGTACAAAAATAAATAAAAATATATTTATTTATATATACAAATCAATAAGTAAAGGTGACGCAGTGGCGCACTAGGTAGTGCTGTCGCTTCACAGCAAGAAGGTCGCTGGTTCGAGCCCCAGTTTGCATTTCTGAGTGGAGTTTGCATATTCTTCCCGCGTTCACGTGAGTTTCCTCCTTGTGCTCCGGTTTCCGCCACAAGTCCAAAGAGAAGCGGTACAGGTAAATTTGATAAGCTAAATTTGTTCGTAGTCTGTGTGAGTTTGTGTGAATGAGAGCGTATGGGTGTTTCCCAGTGATAGGTTGCAGCTGGAAGGGCTTTCTAGATGAAAAAATGGACTAAGCCGAAGATAAAATCAATGAATGAATGAATAAATATATAAGTAAATGCATGTGTATATACAATATAAAAGTACATCATATAGCAACAACAGTATATCAATAGCAGGTGATGCAAGTTATACAGAAAAAAAAATTGTATCAGCTTCCTTCAGAAGTCCTACAAAGGAATTACAAATTTTGAAACACTTTTCAGGTTTTCTCTTGACTATATGAAAGTGAAGTTTTGTTACAGTATGTGCCTAAAAGTCTTTTCCAATTTCATTTTCAATTATATTTTAAATGTATTTATACAAAACATAGC